CCAAAGAACAGCTGGCCAGCAGGAGGTGCACACGCATGCATGGCAGAGACCCAAAGAACAGCTGGCCAGCAGGAGGTGCACACGCATGCATGGCAGAGCTGGGCTGGGGCAACGGCTGGGGTGCCTGCAGAGAGGGCCCTCTGTGCCACCTGTGCCATAGGTTTGCCATCACAGGCCTATAGAGTTACCCCTGCAACTCTGAGTCTCACCACCAATGAGACTGCACAGGACCGGGAAGCTCTGGAGTGGGGCCCCGCAGAGGGCATAAAACCAGGGCACTCTCGGCATCTCTGCCCTTTTTCTTCTTCACCCAACCTCTGGAAGCGTGTGGTCCCCCTTTTCTGTTCAGGAGCTCAAGCCATGTGATCCTGTCCATCATTAAAACCATCTTTCCAAGCAGCCTCCATGATTCCACTGTCTTTTCCCCCCACTGAAACCCAGAAGGACATTTCTCCCAACACTGTTATCTTGCAAACGATGGACAAATCAAATCAGTAAATAAAATAAATGAATATATAACACCCTCCTCACCCGCTTCCCCCGAGACGAGCGCCTTCCACTCAGCTCCAGTTCCTTCCAGCCAGCCGCTTGGACTCCAGGCCTGGTTTCCCTGCGGCTGCGCTGGGCGGTCTTTCCCTCCTCCTGCGGTTGATTCAACTGGGTCTCCTCTTCTGCCTCGCAGGCGCCTAGTTGAGAAAAGGCTGCCCGGGCGGACCGAGGGCGCTCGCTTCTAAGAACGGGCTTCCTCTCCGAGTTCTCCGAGGAAAGAGCTCAGTCGCCTCGCCTCGCCTCGGCTGCTCCCGCCTCGCTTGCCTGCGGCTGCCGAGTCCTGCAGCAAAGGAAGGGACCCTCCCCCACCTGGCCAGGTAACGCGCGCGCGCTCCCTGCACTTTCCCCCCAACTTTGAGTTGGCTGAAAAGTTGGCGGCTTGGCGCCAAAAGGCTTGGAAACATATGGCCGGGTTAGGGTTGGCGAGCCGAGAAGGAAGCCGTTGAAGAGAGAAGCAAAGAGAGTGGCGGGTGCCTTGGTTCCTCCTGGCTGGCCGGATCCTTGTTCCATGATCCGCACACCTGGCTGGCTACTGGCCAGGGCAAAAAA